GGACCTAATATAAAAAAGCAAACCAAAGGAAATAAGGTGTAACATTATTACCAGACCGAAATTATCCTATGCTGGCATATCAAAAGGAACCTCAGAAAAGGATTGTTATATTGAGGAAAAAAAATACTCTGATCAAGAAAACAGGCCTGGCATAGTGCCTTATACCTGTAATCCCAACACCTTGGGATGCCGAGGCAGATTGCTTGAGCCCAGGAATTCAGGATCAGCCTGGGCAACATGGCAAGACCCTGTCTCTACAAACAGTTTTTAAAATTAGCCAGGCATGGTGGCACATGCCTATAGTTCCAGCTACTTGGGAGGCTGAGGAGGGGGGATCACTTGAGCCTGGGAGGTCAAGACTGCGGTGAGCCATGTTCACTGGATCATGAACTGGATCATGTTTGTTTTGTAACCAACATTCTTTCTCTTTCATCCTCCCTCCTGGATCCTACCTTGTTTAGGCATCTACTCTTTTCCACATAGGTACGAAGAGTGAAGCTGGCCCCATCCCCAGCTTCAAATTTTGATGGCTTCTGATTAATTTCAGACAATTATGGTCATCCCATTTCTTCTACCAGTGATGGGTTTAGGAATAGACATGTGACCCAGGTCTGTGCATTGAGATCTGTGAGGCAATATGCTCAAGACTTCTAGGAAAGATCACCTGTCTTCTAAGAAAAAAGGTAAAGGAGTAGATGGTGTGCTGACTCCCAAAACCACTTACGTTGGAAAATTTTTAATTGACTTCATGTTACAGTATTTAGGTATTACCCTTTAATTCGGTGGCTAATTAAATATGCACTTTTAAAGGGGCAGAGGATGTCAGTTTAATGATTGATAAACTTTGTCCTATCCCTTGAGAATATATTTGGAAACAGCAGAAAATCCAAATATTGTTGTTTTTTCTTTTTCTTTAACAAATAGGGATTTGTCTCAGCCATCAAGTTTGGAGGTGGGTATTTAGTGATGTTTCAGATACCCGGACTTTTCATTTTCCTGCTTCTGCCTTCCTAGCTTTCATTCTCGTACTTACACTGTATGGTCACAAGGTAGCTGCTACTCCTCTAAGAAGGAAGCAGGGGAAAGGCAAAG